ATTTAAAATTTAAAAAAAAATAGTATCACACTAAAGCATCAGATGGGAAACACTCCTTCACATTTGCCAGACATCATAAAATGTCTTACCTAGAGAAACTATTGATTTTATTTATAGTTAAATCAGGTTCTGCCACATTATACTGAAACTTTTCATTTATGTAGGTCTACAGAATGGATGACTTCCTACATACACAAAAGGTGGGTACACTGCACAAGACATTTCCCATTTTGTGGGCCTGTTATGTGAAACGAAATGGCAGTATGCCTACTGTGCATTCCTTCTACACTCCTGCACTATATAGGCATAGGACTTAAGTCGTTAACAACCAGCATCCTTTTATGTCCTTACATTCCTACGCATGATAGTGATAATGGTAATGAAGACAACAATGGTGTAATAGTTGCTGATAATGACTGATATGCCACTGCCATGGCAATAATGGTTAATGGTTAATGGTTAAAAGCAAGATAAATGTGCTAGACATCTAAGGTCATGTAGCACTATAGTTAATGTTAGTGAAGGGTGGTTGAGTTAGTGATTAGTTGTCTAAGCTGGGCAAAGGAATTAGTGAGTGAAAGGGTTAAGGTCGGGTGTTATATTAGATAAGGGTATGCATAAGAAAGGTTTCTTGAAGGCATACAATAGATGGGTTATAAGAGGAAAGGATATGATGGTCAGGTCTGTGGGAGCGGAAACCGCGAATATTCCAATGAAGGATAGTTATACTTTCGTTGATTTAGTGACATAGATTGTAGTACGTGTTGGAGAATTTGAAGGGGAAGCAGCTAGAGGGTGGGATAAGGACTGAGAGGTTTGAGTTGGGAGAGGTGTGGGAGTTGGTGTTCTATCAGGAGGGGTATTAAGAGATGGAGGGTCTGAGGAAGGGGATACTTGTGACATAAGGGATTCACGTGTGTATCCAGGAGGGAGTGGAAGGGATAGAGGGGATGGTGGGAGAGTTAATGTGGGCAGGGTTGGGGTCAGGGGGGATGGGCTGTGTTGGGAGGGGGTAGGAGGGTAGGGTGTAGGGGGGATATCGTTAGGAGGAGGATGGATATCAGCAATTACTTGGAGTGTGGAAGGAGCAGGAGTTGTAGGTTGAGTGTCGGTTTTCATTAAGTAATCTTGAATATTTTCAATAGTTTCTTCTGTGGAGTTGGTTGGGGAGTTTTGGGGGATAAAGGATTTCTTGTGAGGGGGGGAAGAGAGGACTGGTGTCTCAAGAGTACGGGCAAAGGATGGTGGGGGTGATTGTGTGGTAGGGGAAGAGGGGGTGGAACGTTTGTTCTGTCTGTTACGGGGAGTGCGAGGAGGGAGAGGGGAAGGTGTTGGGGTTGTAGTGGTGATTGGAGTACCTGTAGTAGAGATTGGAGTTACTGGATTTAGGATGGCAAAAGAGTTTGACTGGGGAAGGTAGGTGGGGTTAGTGGGGGGGTTAGATGTAGGAGGGGTGGGTTTAGGAGAAGTGTTAGAATGAGCAGTATTACTGGAGTAAGGAGTAAGAGAGAATCCACGTCGACGTGCTTCCTGTCTGGCTTCACGCAGTGTGAGTCCGAGTTTGAATCTGAGAGTTGCTACCTCAGATTCAAATTTGTAGGTGGGACAGCCCCTATAAAATACATTATGGGGGCCGCCACAGTTGGCACATGTGCGTGATTGTGCAGAGCAGTTAGATCGGGTATGGCCAGGTTGGGCACATAATGGGCATCTGGCTGTGGAACGGCAGTGTTTGGCTGGGTGTCCTAGACGCCAACAATTTTGGCACTGACGTGGAGGAGGTTGGTATGGACGAACAGGGAGGGATTCTCCTCCTATGTAGATGTTAAAGGGAAGGTCATGTCTACGGAAGGTAATTTTGGCTATGTTAGTGGGTTTCTTTCGATGACCTCTGGGGGGGATGGAATAGCATTGTACTGATGTTGCATCGTAGTCTGTGAGACAGGCAAGTAGATCTTCTCCACAATCTGACCAATCTTTGTCATAGATTGGGCAATTTGCTGGTGAGATTGAGACTGTTCCGGTGCAAGTATTGAGGGTTGGATGGGGTTCTGCTAGGATGGGGTTACCATATTGGTCAGTTAGTTTTGTTAATGCTATGGCTTGGTTTTCGGATGTTACTGTTACAAGACGGGAGCGGTCGGGTCGGCTACGGAAAGAGACTTTACCTACTTGTTTTTGGAGGCATTGTTGGAAGAGAAGGGTGTTGTCAGAGTAGGGAGCTGTGGGAGGGATCACGAAAAATCGGTCCCATTTGGCTGCACTGAAGAGAGTATTTAAGATTGTTTTAGAGATAGGGGTGGTAGAAGGGCGAGGGCGTGACGAAGATGGAGTAGTGTTGATGGAGGTAGTGTTATGGAGAGGTGGGCTATAAGGCTGTAAGGTATTAATAAGGGAGGATGGGGTGGTTGATGTTGGAGGTTGTGGGGGTAGAGGTGTTGAAGTTGGGCATGCTGGGAGAGTGGAAATGTTCCTTGAGGGTTGATTGTTGGCTACTGTACTAGTAGGCATTGGTGAAGGGGCAGTTATTGCAGTGTTCGGAGCCGTGGTCAAAGGAGAGCCTGGGGTCGGGGAATCGGGTGGGTTTACTTCTTTGGGGCTATTTGATATAGGGGCAAGCCTCATTGCCCCTAACAGTGGGGATATATTTTCATTACTGGCCATGGTAAGCCTGGTTATGTTGGGGATAAAAACAGTCCACCCCTCAGGGTCCCCTTGAGGGGTAAGGGCTAGATAACTAAATCAGGGGAATACCGTGCCCATGGCTCCCTCAGGCCGTTCAGGACTGGCACAAAGTCAGCCTTTCATCCTTTCAGCACGGCTCTCACACCTTAGGAGGTGGATAGCAGAAGGGTTTGGTGAAGGGACAGAAACAAAAGTGGGAAGGGAAAAAAAAGACCATGCATAATTAGTTGAGTCGAGGGCTGAGTCCCAAGGTTGGGGAGTTCCCCATCATTGGGTCCCAGTCTCCGCCTCCTAAGCCCCCCCACGACAACAACGGGCAAGGGATTGGGGGGGCCATGGCAATAAAGGAAACAGAGAGAATATATTTTGTTACTTTTGTTTTCTGTCATTATCTCCTTATTTCAGCCAGATCAGAAAATTATCATATTCATACATGAAAATGAACATATCCAGAGGTATCATAATAAGAATAATTTCCAATTTTATAACAGATATATTTCAGACTTTCTTAAAGTCTATCATAAGTACACATTTTTAATAAACAGAAGGTAACAGTTAAAGGACGAAAGTATATACATTAAGACTAATTGGAATGACTATACGATTAAGAATACTGATGATTTTGCAATAATAAAAGCCTTTTAAATGCCCTAGAAGAATGCAGAATATGGTACAATAACCACTTTTGAATATTCACTGATGGTAGAGGTACCTAATTTTCATTTTTAATCATCAAATAAGCAGCCTTGATCTATAATCAAGTGAAAGTGAATTTCCAGTTAATTATTTAGATAAAAAAAAACAAAGCTGGGAGGAAAATGCTTATTAAATGCAAACAAGCTGCGATCTGTTTTTGGGTATATAAGTGTTGATGATGACGATAATAATAATAATAAATAATAATAACAATACTACTACTACTACTACCAATAATAATAATTATGATAACAATAATAATAAAAGGGAAGCATACAATCCAAATACTGATTACTTTAGGGAAAACAAGCAAAGCTCTTTCTGTTGTCTGTGTTCTCAATCAAGCTTGACATTAATCACATGTCTTTTAATAAACTACACAATTTCTTTTGAGAATTTCTCTTCCTTAATTTAAAGTCATACAAAAAAAAAAATTCTGATATGCTCATCACCAGCACAGTTATACAAGCAATTATTTATCTTCTAAATATCTATTGCTAAAACCCGGCTTTGTGAAGTTCTCTTAGCTGGGCACCAAGTCGTTCTCCTTTAAACTTTCTTAGATGAGTTTCCTGCAATAAAAAGTATTAAACATTAGTTGTTAAAACACAGAATTTTTCTGCTTCTTTATTATGATACCAGAGTCTACCAACACATATGTATTTTTTTTTTTTTTTTTTTTTTACATAGAAAAAAAAAAAAATCTTTCATCCCAAACAGATAGTCAAATTGCACATTACTCACTATTCTTTTTTCCAAATAACTGTCTAAGAATGCATCGACATCAATATGGCTGTGAAGGAAGTCCTCGGCAATCTTTTCACTGTCCTCTTCTGACTGTGCAGCAAAAATGAGCAGACTCTCCTGAAATAATGGGGAAAACAAATTAAACAAATACAAACCCAGCATGAGAGAAAGCTATATAATTTATATATAAATCTGAGGAGCATCTGCAAAGTTGACAAATGGGTATAGTTTTCCTGGCTCCTACTACCAATATAGCTTTTAGTTGAACTGTTTTTTGTTTTTTTCTACTTCATCAAGCAATTTTCTGAGGCAATTAAAAAGCAAAGTTAACTAGAAACAATCCACCTTTCCTTGGCTGCCAAGTGTGTAGACTAATGATGGACAGTCCTTACATGCAAAGCTCAAACATAACTCATAACCAATAGTCTCAATGTTTTTCCCTCTACCTGAATGCTGCTTGGAGCCAGCTTTTCTGATGCTTTCTGTTGTTTAATGGTCATGTCCTCAAAGCTTGACCGAAGGGAAGTCAGCTCCTCCACCTTCTGGATAGTGGCATCCCTAGCCCGCTCATAGTCGCTGCTGCGCTCGAGATTTGCCTCTATGGGGGAAGGTTACAAATGTCGGTCACACACCATCCAGGACAAGACCCTAAATAAAAACAGAAAGCAATACCACCATCAACACTATAAAATACACACAGCCTATAACAACAAACCAAATTAGTCACATACTTGCTAATGCCTCATTCTGAGCAGAAAGCTGCTCACACTGGTTCTTGAGTGCTGCAACCTGGGGAAGGCCTTCCACAAACTCAGTCAGCTTGTCATCACAGGCTAGCAGGTCCTCCAGGTCATCACGGCTTAGGGATGCAA